CAGAAGTTGAGCTAGTTATGGTATGTCAAAAAATCGGGGACAAAAAATCACCTGGACCCAGTGCGCGCACTTGTGAGGTGCATTTACCAACTCTGCTTTGGAGGATTCCACAACCAGGCAAAAAGCCAAAACACACACACACACACACACAAACAAACACACACACAAACACAAACACACACACACACACACACACACACACACACACACACACACACACACACTACGGGCGGAGGAGGAGGAGAGAAGGGAGAGGGGAGAGGGGAGAAGGGAGGAAGGGAGAGGGGAGAAGGGAGAGGGGAGAAGGGAGAGAAGAGAAGGGAGAGGGGAGAGAAGAGTACTTAAAGACCCGCCTGTCTTTTAATACTCTGAAGAGTTTTTTTACAGAACTCCCCTTTACTGTTCCGGGCTATTGTCAGAGTTCCCGGCTTCGATGGGTGGTGGTATTGATGATGGCTACCTGATGCTTGCCGTGCCTCAAACCACCCATCGTCTTTAATTATTTTCAATAATTTTCTCAGTTTTAGGGTCATTGTTGATATATTCAATTATCGAAGACAAGTGTTTCAAAATTCTCAAAATCTTCCTTTTTATCGATTGTGGTGTTAATGAGTATCTAATGATATGAGGTGAAACCACCCATTAACTCCTAAATACATTCTTAGTTCCCTTAATTACATCCCTAACTAGTCATTATCAGTTCTTTTGTGTTACTAATTAGCTTCTATCAAAATATATAGTTTTCATGTGGTATTTTGGCAGCCATGTTTTAAAAAAAATTAATTTACGAAGAATAGAGCATACATATTCTACGTAAATTACATTTTTTTTAAAACATGGCTGCCAAAATACCACATGAAGACTATATATTTTGATAGTAGCTAATTAGTAACATAAAAGAACTGATAATGACTACTTAGGGATGTAATTAAGGAAACTAAGAATGTATTTAGGAGTTAATGGGTGGTTTCACCTCATATCATTAGATACTCATTAACACCACAATCGATAAAAGGGAAGATTTTGAGAATTTTGAATAGTGTTGGCTGCGAAAATCTACGAACACTCGTTCGTTCGTTCGTAGGAATTGAAGAAAAAAAAATAGTTCGTTCGTAGATTTTGAAAAATAAAAATTTTGTTCGTCTGTTCGTTCGTTTGTAGCTATTTTTTATTTCAAATATTAAAAAAATTATGGAAATATTAAGAAAATTTGAAATAAAAAAATCGCTACAAATGAACGAACAAAAAAAAAATTATATTCCTACGAACGAACGAACGAACGTTCGTAGGCAACAGTATTTGGGAATTACCCCTTTACAAATTGAGAAAAATATTCTTTCGATTTGCTAGGGATTTTGGCGAAAAATGCGAAGACCTTTTTTTTAGCTCTTCACTTTGTAAAGCGGGAGAAAATATTCAATTTTTCTAGGGTTTTTTGGCAAAGAGAAAAATCTTTCAATTTGCTAGGGCTTTTTGGCGAAGAGAAATCTTTCAATTTGCTAGGGTTTTTTGAGCCAAATGCTTTGAGACAAACCCAGAAATGTGCGAACAACTTCGAGAACATTGTAACAGTTTATCTTTGATCAGTTTTAAAATAATTGCATTCCAAGCGAAATGTAATAAATAAAGCATCGCACGCGAACATAGAGAAAAATCTGCCCGAACAAATGTTCGTCCGAAAGAGAAATTATACGCGATGAAAAAATAAAATTACGAATTTTTGCATGCAAAAATTCAGATTAAAATCAAATTGTAAATAAATAAATAATGGGGAAAAAAATTACATAAATAGACAGGCAAAGATGCACTTTCAATCCATTTTGTGATTCAAGTACTTACAAACAGTCTATTTTCCTTGATTCTGAATTATCATATAAATTTTTACTTTTACTCTGGATTCAATTTGATTAAATTGCATCATTTCCTTGCCTTTTTCGATTTTTAAAATCAGAATCGGAGCCTGGATTCATCGTTTTATGTTTTCGATTGTAATAATAAAACAACGGAAAGAAAAAGAATAGGGAGAAAAGTGGTGAAAACATCATAATTGAATGAGGAAAATATTAAAATTGTGAATTTTTATTGCAAAACGACGAAGACGGTGACGACGAACGGAAAAGAAAATGTCTATTCAAAATATTTATCGTTTTATCACAGTGACGTTGGTCTTATTGTATGCCAATGGTATTTGTGCACAAAATTCAAATTACAGTGAATTGCTTGAAACGATCGGCATTTTTTATTACAGTCCGTAAGTCATTTTATTGACTTTCACGATCGTTTATTAGTCTGGTGATTTCAACGATCGTCAATATTTAAAGAAAAAGAAGAAGAAGAAGAAGAAGAAGAAAACCAAATGAAATCATTGGTGTCGATTATTATTGTTTTCATTTTCAGATTCTATCACGAGGAACAGTTGGTGCGTAGATCAGTGAAATTGGACGGTTTTATTGATGATGTACCAATAAAAGTGTTGATTCATGGCTATATAGCCAGCCGTTATCATAGTTCGATTGAACCAATCAAAAAAGCATATTTAAGTGCCGGAAATGTGAATTTAATGATTGTCGATTGGTCGCAGGCATCGTATCAAATGTATGATGTTTCGAGACGATTGACATCGCAAGTAGCGCTCCGTATTGCACAAATTCTCGACGCTTATTTACAGGCAAATAATATCGACAGTGGTTTAGTGCAAATCATCGGACACAGTTTGGGTGCTCATATTGCAGGAAATGTTGGTCGAAGCATGAAATCACGAGTCGGACGGTAAGAAACAGGCAACAATGTTGTTTCCGAATCGGAAAATAACATCTAACAAAAAAACACGTTTTCCTTTCAATCAAATACTGATAAAATATTGATTTTGTGACATCAACGCCTTCATTATTATTTCAGTTAATTTTGTTGTTCGATTTTATTCTTGAAGATTGAAATAACTGTTGATAATAAATTATTTTTTCGTTGACTGTTTAGAATCACTGGACTAGGTAATTTGACGATATTAAATCGATTGAAAAAATGAAAATAAACTGTTTTCTTAACACTTATTATCTAGATCCGGCGGCACCTTTATATTTAAAATGGTCATATGATGCAATTCGAATAACAGACGCCCCCTTTGTTGATATTATACACACAAATGGCGAACGGCTAGGAGAATCATGGGCAAGGTAGCTTTTTCATTATTTTTTGCAAATGTAAAAATTGATAAAAATCACTCCATCCGAAAATAACGGAGTTTTGATTTTTACAGAGGTCATGCTGACTTTTATCCTAATTTTGGTATCGTGTCTCAGCCAGGATGTGAGCAAAAAGACGTTTCAACACTATGTACGTATTTTTTAATTAAAATTCTTATTTTCAACTTTTGAAAATTGCTTTCGTGCGCAGTTTTTCATGAGAAAATCTGTATTTCGTTTTCGTTATTCCGTTATAATGG